TGTCTCCCTCCGTTCGGTGGCCTGAAGCTGCAGACACCTACTGCTCCGTCCCTCGCTGCGGACAGGAGCCCTGGGAGCGCCGGGGAGGGATGTGCTTCCGACGGCGGGTGGGTGATGGGGTCTGAAGAAACCCACGTTTGTGTTTGGTGTAGGCTAACACCGACTCCAAGCTCAAATAATTATTTCGGGTCTGTGACAGCTCAGCCGCTGTACACCACGTAAGTGGCAGGTCTGTGGTCAGCTGAAGGGACCAAGTGAATGCCTCTGGCCTTCCTGCCCGCGTCGTGCCAGCCGGGTGGTTTTCTCCTTCCACCTTTGTAAACCTCTGAGCAGGTTCAGACAGGATTCAGACTTAACCTCCCAGAAATGGGTTTTGTCTTTTGATTAGGGAAAACAGAAATGCTCCGTCCTTCTCCGGAGAGGGGAGATGGCCGTGTTGGCTCGGCCTTTGTGATGGGCAATACTTGGGATTTCCATGGAGGTTTTAAAATGTGCTGCCTCACACGGTGACCTTCGCAGAAGATGCAGCAATGTGATTTTCCTGAAGCTGGCTTGGGTGGGAGGGTTTGCGTCGCACCTTTTGTACTGCGTGCCCCTGAAATGGCACCTCTGAAACTTTGGCATCACATCACTGCTCTCTTGCACCCCCCCCAATTTTAGATTTGCTTACATCTTGGTAACCCCAGGATTCCTTGGGCTGTGACCATCTATCTGAGCCTTACTCAGACCAGGCAGATTAGCACGTTGAAATGCTGGGGTGCAGCCTCCGGGTGAGGGAGCGACCCCAGCGAACACAGGACCTCTCCTTTGGTCGTTGGCCATGCAGGGGTTAACAAGAAACACTGATAGAGATTGAGATTCTGTAGCAAATCACTCTAAATTTAATAATCTCACCGTTTCTTTGCAAGAAGCATCAAGCTGTCTGGCATTCCTTTTCGGTACTGTGCCTGGAAGCGGGATGGAGGCTTCGTGTGCTGTTGAGGGCACCCAGGGGCTGTGGAGGGGCTGCGGGGCGGCCGTGCCTCGCTGGGAAGAGAGGTCCTGTGGACGCAGATGTTGCTCCCCAACTTAGGGCTTGCCCTTGGCCCTGGCCCAGCGCTGGCGGTTCCTTGCCGAGACCAGGGCCGAGGTGCTTTGGGGGCTTCTGGGGCTCCCCTGCGGCGGTGGGGTCTCCGCAGCCGCCCTTGGGCTGGACGCTGCGGTGAGCGGAGTCCTCTGCCGAAACCACGGCTGTTCGTGGTGAAGGCAGGGGTTGGCGTGTGGGAGGAAGGGGAGCTGCCGGCCGGGACGTCGTGGCTGCTGGCGCAGGTTATTCCATGGTAAATCTCAAAATGGTTAAACTATTTTGCATCAGTAACAATCTTATGCAGAAAAGCTTGGCTGTGTTACAGAGGAGTTGCTTCTTTTTGGTCCAAATACCAGAATTGCTTGTACAATTGATTTTTAAAAAATATTATGCAATCATTTGAAAGTTGCTCTAAGGTTATTTTTCCAGGTATTAGAGGAAGCGCATCTTGAGACCTTACTTCAGTTCCCACGAAAGAAGGAAAAGCAACCCGAGGGGAGAAGGATCAGATAAAGGGAGACGAGCACGTGCTGGAGGAAATCAAATCTGCCTGCGGAGGAGGTCGGACCACCGCGGAGGAAACGAATGGGATCTGCCCATTGTCCGTGCTCTTCCGCCTGCTCCGGTGGGAGCTCGGCCTCCAGTGAAAAGATTGGTGCCGATTGTCCGTGGCATCCATGTGAAATAGGGGATTAAGCTGAGGAATAAAGCCACTAAATGGGAGACCTCCCAGTTACTTCAAAAAGACGTTATTTCCCCCTCTCCTCTTGGTCTAGCTAGTGCACAATTGTATTTCCAAGAAGTTGATAAATATTGCTAGATTTAGGAATGATTTCTATAAACCTTTCTGCTGTACTTCAGAAGTCCTTTCTCACAAGGAAAACGCTGCAACGAATTAATCGCTTTGTGTTTTGGCCACACAAAGCCAACAACTGACTCATTTTCAGTGGCTTCGTTAGTGGAAATGATTCACGGGCTGGATTACCGCGACCTCTTCTCTGGGCTGGTGCACTCTCCTCTTTCAAGATGCTTGTGATGGCCGAGGGGGCGGCCCGGAGATCGTGAAGGAGAGGGTGGTAGGAAGCACCTGAAAGGGCCAGAAAACGTAATTCAGCCAAAAAAAGCTCAGCCCAGCCCGCGCCAGCACACGGCTGTAGTGCCTCCGTGTACCCAGACCGTCTCTGGAGGGGCTGTGGGACTTGCTGCCATCTTTTTACACAATGACGTAAGTTTTCCTGGTACCTACTGTTGTTTGCATTGCCTCGTGTTTAAAAGATGGCGTAGATTTAATTGGAAGGAAAGAGAAACAAATGTGTTGCAAAAATACGTACAATAAGCCAAACCTGGTAGCAGTTGGATTAATGAACCTTTTTAAAAACTTGAACGCAGAACACTTACAAGGCCGTTTTAGTGGTGATATTTATTACTCATCACATAAAACATTTCACAGTGCGGGTACTGGCAGGGTCGTTACGCTCGGTCCTGTTAACGCCCGAGTCCGTTCACTGCTCCAACTGGTGAGTTGACATCAATTCAGCATCTGTTTCTCAACAGTAGGTCAATAAAGTTGCATATATTTTCATTTTAGGCGTCTCCTTTGTCCAAAGTGTTGTATTAGGAGTCATCCTTATCTCATGTGTTGCTGAGAAAATACTATAGTGAGAGTTACCCTGACCTTGGACAACGAGGAGTTTCTCTCTCCTGCAAACAGTTCTTAGCTGGTTTCCTTGCAAAATAACCGTATACCATTTTTTGGATAGTGTCTTGTGTGTAAACACCAATGAATTTTTTGGTGTTTTTTTTTTTTTTTTAAAATTCAAACCAACAGAAGTGATGCTCAATGTATCAGCCGCGTGTGTTATTTTTGCAGTGTATGCGGTCGGGTATGTTTGCTGGAGGGCAGGGGGGCTCCTCTGGAGCAAGGCGAGTGCGTCGGCTTCGGCCCTGCGGCAGAGCGTGCTGACCGTGCCCCGGCGGCTCAGCCTCGCATCCCGGTGCCCTCTGCTCCCTGGGCTCCACGAAGAAACTTTAATTAACGTCCTAGGCTTGCTTTACCTTCACGAGTCCCGTAAACGTATGACAATGCAAGAGAAATGAACAGGAAAGTTCATGGTTTTCTCTTTTTCCATGGACGGTTGGATCTCTGTAGCGAGTTCCCATTCACTGGGGCCCCGGGCTTCCGCAGAGGCATCGAGCTCCGGCGTGGACGTGTCCGTCAGTGTTCCCATGGGGAAGACAGAGTGATTTCCAGTCGATCCCTGCGTCCCCAGGAGAAGCAGCTCGGGGCTGGTGTGGTTCCTCCTGCAACGCCTCGGTGGCCTCGCAGGGTCTTGCCTGTGAGCGTGTGCGTGTGTGCGAGAAGCGCTGCACGCCTGTGCCGGGGCTTGCCCAGTGAAAAGGTGACCGGCGGCTGCCTGGAGGACGAGGCTCCGGGCGTAGAATGGGGCTGGCAGAGTTGGGTAATGGAGAAGAAGCGCAGGAGTGATCACT